TAACTGACACAAAATGATAACTAGTTGTTAAGGTTGGAATAATTTGACAGCTATGTTAAAGTAACGTCAGACATAATCACAGCCACCTAGATTTTATCAAATAAAGATCTACACAGATCAAATCATGTAAATGAAAATATCTAGGAAAATCTTTGTTTGAGGGACAGACAACCTTAATAGTATTTTGAAGAGACATGAATTCTCCATTGAATATCGGAATAATATACTGGGTGTTCCATTTAAAATAAAAGAGTAACATGCTTCTAAAGGCGATCAATGTTCAATATTAATTTTGTCTCACCTTGTATAACATTTTGGATCAAGTTTTAGTTTGATTTAAAGTACAATAGTTAATTTGACGACATATTAGACTCTACAGGGTAAATTCCAATTTAAGTAGCTTTTATCGTAATTTAAAAATTGTTCTTTGGTTCTATACATTTTAGTCATATATTTCTCTTCTAAAACTCACCTTTATTTTTCTTCCAGAATCTAAAAAACAATTAATATATAGGGTGTTCCATTACAAAAAACACAACTTTGACATGTAACTTTTTTTGGGGACACCCTGTAGAACTCTCTATATTTTTAAGAAGTGCTCTGAATTAACCTACATATGCTAACAAAATTTTAATTCAATACAAACTGTCATTCTCCTTGGAGCCTCCGCGGCGTATGAGAGGCGCCACAACAAGTAGGGATTTTTTATTTATTTTTGTATATGTATATTTTTTCATAAGTTTTCAAAGTAAAATAATTCGGTTATTTTGGACTAATTTGAAAAACGGTAAAGAGAAAATATGTTTCTTTTATCGACATCTACCAACTTTGAAAATATTTGCACTTATTTAAGACTCACTCTGTATAGAGTGACAGATCCAGTATCCTCTATTCTCCTTCTTTGACATTTTTACTCTAAACTTGTTAAAATATGCGTGAAACAGTACCGCTCTTTAAATCTAGTTATTTTTGAGCTTATGGTTTGCCAACATATGAAGATCCAACTTGAAATCAACCCCAAAATATAATGATATATTTACTTTCTCCAAAATAAAATATTTCTTTTTAAGATTGAATTAAACCCTAAATTAGTAAACCCTACTATCTACTTCAAATTTAGTCATTTTCAATTTTATTTTCTTGTATTTATTTGTTGTAAAATACAAACAGAAAAAACTACCTGTTCAAAAGAATTTTAATTCAGTTGGATTAAGAGATAAATATCTGGTTTCAATAAACTAGTTTTCTTCTAAATAAAATACGACAAATTTAGAACTTCGTATCGGTTTCTTTCACTTTGAAAGTTGATATCCTTGCTATCGTCCTGAAATTCCAGATAGGAATAGTATTACTCAAGTTTCGATTCCTCTAATTTTAGTTGTAGTTCAAAGACACTACAATATTAAACGTAATCGTAACCGAAATAAATATCTTAAATTTTTTTTTCAAAAAAATGGAATGGACAGGAAAAAAAAAAACAGATTTGAATTTAAATAAAGCGATTTTTTATATCTTTATATAGTGTCCTCGAGCGTGAAATGAAGGGTCAGTCGATTTACATTTAATTTCCTTTAGATGTAAACCCAATATAGATTCTATGGAAGATATTCGAAAAATATAAACTGGTATGTTTATAGTGAAAACATGTTTTTAGGCACAGAAGCTTTGTTGAAAATGGAAAGGAACCTTTTTATTGTTATTTTTTAATTTATGTGTACCAGAAAATGTAAAATATTATCCTATTAAATTTTTTTATTTAAACACTAAAAAAACAAAAATTTTTGTATATAGAAAACGCTGACAAACCCTTTCCATAAAAATAATAATAGTTGGAAAATAAAAAAGAATAAATTATAAAATAGAACTATTTAAAAATTAAATATAGCAATAAAAATCAAATATTTAACCAGAAACAGAGAAAAAATACAATTTTTAATGTTCGTATTATAATTCACAAATTCGTTTTTTTTGCGAACAGTGTTGAATTTTTTACATTTTTCTTGAGATTTTCCGGAAAATATTGAAAAACTTTGGAGTTCCACTTGTTTAGTTTCCGTTTTTTTGTTTATAGTACTTGGAGAGAATGCAATGTTGCCACGTCCTATTTTATCCACATTTTGTATGTTTATTAAGTTTAAATTTCTAAAAATAAAAAGTGCTTAAATTAATTTTATTCACTGTAGATTTGCTATCTATCGGAGTCCTGTTTTCTAATGTTAGGTAAGTTTTTACTTTTAATCTGAATTTTCCAAGTCGTTTTTTAGTTATTCTAGTGGTCACTGGGCGTTGAACACGCTGAGATTCTGGTAATTGCCGGCGACTTTCAAAATGTCATTAATTTTTTTAAATTTTCAAAATTAAATAAGTCGGTTATTATCAATTTATTTTAAAAATGGTATAGAGAAAATATGTTCCTTTTGGCCAGATCTACCACCCCTCAAGATACTTGCACTTATTTCTGAGACACTTTGTATTTAGTAAGCTCAACAAGACCCCCCCTGTCCAGTAATATCTAAGATCTTTCTCAAATAAAACGAGTGCTTGAAGAAATAATACCTATTAAAGATTCTTGTGCTTGTTGAAAATAAACCAAGATATTTCCGTCAGTAAGTTCAACCGATTAACATCAAAATAAGAAAAAAAACCTATTGTCTGTTTACCCCCATTTTCCTAAATAAACACTGCTGAACTTTGAACTAAACGATATAGGGTAGTAGGGTAGTAGGAAGGGTCACTACTGAAGCATAATTCTCCAATTCGCTGTTCGTTTAAGATGACATACAATTTTCTTCCTATTGCACATTCCTTGTATACCTACTTCTAAATATCTACTCCTGTTCCAGTGGCGTCAAATACGAAAAGAACAAAATAAAATTTATATCGAAAATTAAAACTAGTTTTATGACCAAATATTGGTAAACCGAAATAAAGCTCGACACAAATTTGGATAACATTTTAAAAACTAAACGTTTTGCGAGAGTATTGAAGTCATGATTACAAAATCCCGCTTAAGATGGCTGGTCATGTATGCAGAATGCAAGAAAACCGCCTACCGAAATCTCTACTTTATGATGAGCTTGCAGACGGTAAGAGGAAACCGGGTGGACAACTCAAAAGGTACAAGAATATTTTCCTCGAAAACTTAAAAGGTATAAGCATATAGAATCAGTGGGAGGAAGCATTGCAAAATAGAACCCAATGGAGAAGAATTGTAAACAACGACAACCAAAAAGTAAAGAGGCAACAAAGTAATGAGATTATTGAATGTCCAGAGTGAGGAAAATAGATAACATCACGTATCGGGCTTTTCAGTCACATAAAAGCTCTTGAAAGAAAACGTCTTGCGTAATCATCTGCTGATGCGTGTGAAATACTCGTCAGCGAGTAATGGGAGTAAGTAAGTAAGTAGGCGATTTCCATCTGGGATTTAGGAAGGGAATGGGCACAAGGGAAGTGCTCTTCGGTTTAAATATTCATACGCAAAGATGTTTAGATATAAATCAAGATGTGTACAGGGTGGTCGAAATTGGTCTGTTTTAACAGAAAAAAACTATTTCCTGACTAGATAGAGCAAAACCGACATAGATGTCATGGGCTCGATTTTTGAGAAACGTTTAATGGTATAAACCGCCTGTTGATATTTTTTACTGCCAACCGAGATACGGGGTCTTTTTGAATTTTTTACCATTTGGAAAATTGCCCACAACTTTTGTATTTCGCGGAATAATAAAATTTTGTAAAAACGTTCTTAAGGCACTTTTTTAAGCACAATCCAGTGGCGTAGTCAGTTTTTTCTATACTTGCTCTTTTTGTCAGAAATAATAAAAATATAATTTTTTAAATGGAAATCATAGTTGGCTATGAACTTAAAAAAAATGCTAGCGTTTAACCCTTTCCAAGGATATAAAGGTATGTGTATTTATATCTAAGAATGAGAGAAATATTAGGTTTTTTGTCTTTGTATCGAAGCGGGCCTTGATTTTGTGTTGACCTAGTTGCCTAATTATTTTTTATCACAATTTAATATTCCATATTATTATTTTTCTGCATAATTAAAGACTTTTGAAAAGGTAAATCAACATTCTACATTAGGATTACCGTTTACAATTAAAACACCAGGGTTACAACTGCACTATACAATATCGATACATCCCAAAACAGACCAATTTCGACCACCCTGTACATTGGTTTTATAGACTTCGAGAAGGCGTTCGACAGAGTTCGACACAATAAGCTAATCGAAATATTACAAAGAAAGAATATTGATAGTCAAAATATAAGATTGATAGCGAACCTATATTGTGGCCAGACCGCTAAGATCAGATTAGATGATGGTTTTTCTGAAAGTATACAAATACAACGAGGTGTACGTCAAGGATGCATCTTGTCTCCCCTCCTTTTCAATATATACAGTGAGGCCATCTTTCAAGAAGCTTTGGAAGAAGCAGATAAGGGAATCAAAGTAACTGGTCAACGAATCAACAATATCAGATAGGTACGCTGACGATGCAGTAGTAATGACAGGCAATAGTGAAGATCTGCAGAACCTACTCCAAAGAATAGGTAAATCTTTCCTGCAAACAATATGGGCTGAATATGACTTTGAAAAAAACAAAATTTATGATTATTACAAAAGACCAAAATGTAAATACTTCAATATCAATAGACAGCACGCCAATAGTAAAAGTCCAACGCTACAAATACTTGGGTACAATAATAAATGAAACTGCCGAACAATTGCAAGAAATAAAGTAAAAATTTAAAAAAATTAAAGGAGGACGTAGTCGGAGTAGAAGACGAACATCTTGGCTACAGAGAATGGTATGGAATGACGCCGAATGGATTATTTAGAGCAGCCGCAAATAAAATCAAAATAGCCATGATGATTGCCAACCTCGGTTAGGAGACGGTACTTGAAGAAGAAGAAAAAGTAAGTAAGATATAAATATCTTTTACCATCGATAAATAATAACTTACAACTACGCTACTGACCCACTTACCTTCCTTCAACATCCTCGATACGTTCGATCTGGACAGAAAGTGCTGGAACACCCGCACCCCGCTCTTGAGGAACGACAGAACTTCCATCACGTTCTCCACGAACGTGACGTTCGATTGACTCTTGGCGGCGACGGCGGCTCCAATAGAAGAGGAGGCGGTCGTAGCCGTGGCGGCAGATGCCTTGGGGGCGGCAAAGGGCGGCTTTCTCGGGGCCAAATTTGCCTGTTTCTCGTCCCGTTTCGGGTCGAGTTTTGGCGGCTGTTCGGTGGTGCTCCCATCGACGGGCGTCGGCTGAGGGAACAGATAACCGTCGACGATTACCAGGATCCTGTAATTCGGATAAATGAATCGTTAAGTGAGAAATACGATGAGGGGTGCGGGGAATGGAAAGAGAGAGGGAAAAGGGTGGTGATGATTTGACTTTTAGTCGGCGCTTGTCCAAATTGGATTGTTTGAGATTCAATTATCTGTCGGGTTGGATAGATAGGGCCAGATTGTCGGTGAATTATTATCGTTTGAATAAAGTGTTATTAAAAGTTTATACGTTGTGCGTCTCAAAAGTGGCTCACCCCTATAACTTTTTTATTTTTTCAGATAAAAAGGTTTGGTTTGATTGGTTGTTTGGTCTCTTTTCGGCCACTTCCTGTTTCACCGGAAATGACTACAACTTTTGATTTTTAAATGGCACCCTCGGGATTTTTTTATTTTATTCGATAGAAAATGACACTCTGAATAGAACGACATATCGTATGTCAACTTTTGACATTTTTGCTTAAAAGAAAATTGTATTTTAAATTTCAATCTGGAGTGCCATGACTGTGTTAAAAACAATAATTTTTAATCAATGAATCCTTGAAAAATAGATTTGATCGTCTAATGTTTTTAGTGTCTTGTCCTGGCCGGTTAAAAGATGCTGAAATCGTATTTTTAATCATATCTTAATTTTTGCAAATGGCACAAGGGTGGCTCATTAGTATATTTGGAAAACAACTTTTTTTGCAAATAATTTGGTACCATACATTTGGTATTTTGAGTCAAATTGTCGTTATGAATCGCATGTTGCAATTTCAAATAAACCATTGAAATACGCCAATCAATCCGAATTTATGTCATACTAACATACCAAATCTCGATTTTTTATCATAAATAAATAAAGAAGTTAAAAGGGTGAACCACTTTTGAGATACACCCGGTATATTAAAAAAACAACTAGCTTTAAGAGTATCTTTATCATATAATTAGTTCTATAATTAACAATATTATAACTATAGACTTTAGGTACGATTTGAGAGTTTGTAATACTATACAGGTTGAATTTTAAATCAGGCCAAATATTTTCAAGGCTGGTAGATCTCCATAATAATAAAATATAAACCTATTTTCTCTTTACCAATTTTCAAGTAGGTAAGTCCAAAATAACGGAGATATTTTACTTTGAAAATTTCCAAAAAATTGATTTTTCGCTTAAATTTTGAGAACCACTGGATCTTTTCTGGGTTTTCTTTCTTGTAAATACCGTATAATCGAAAGAAACGGCGTCCAGTTAGCTTGGAGATGAACATCGATGAACATCGATGACACTCCCCATATAATTTTACATGGATCTTCATTTCATAGCCATCGTTGACGGCGTTTTTTTTCGATCATATTGTATAATCTACTACCTATGTTGCCATAATATTATGAAGATATTATGTCATTTAACTAAAAAATTAATAAACAGTTCCAAATTTTTTTGCAAAAAATTCCAAATTTCGATTTTTTTTTGCGAAAACCATTCGTAGACGTGTTTCTGGGATCAAAATATACTACCCCTAAAAATATTTGCACTTATTTAATATTTACCCTGTATAATGCTATACCACAGCTTACAGAATAATATAGCTTGGACACTCGCCAATTTTTCCCACGCTCGAATTTAAAACGCCCTACTCCGACGATGCGCTAAATGAATTAAGCGACCGACAGTCAGCCTCATTCAGTCGATGCATAGCCTCCACCGGTGGCGCGTAGGGCCGTATTACGGAAGATTTTAATTCGATTTTTTTTTTCTTATATTTAACCATAGGTATTTGTGCTTTTATTTCAATTTTATTTTTATTGATGGAATGGGAAAAGGTTTTCCGGGATGTGTGGCTGCTGGTTGCACAAATAATTATGGAAATAATTCAAAATATAGTCTGTTTAATTTTCAATTCAATTCAAAATTAATGTTCAATTCAAAAGTATATTCACACTTTAGTGCTTTTCAAAACGATGAAGACTACTTATTTGGAGGCTTGCTAATGCCAAGTGACCATTTTTTTATTTAGTTTCCTCATTGGAGGCTAGTTTTATAAGCTTTTATTTAACTTGCTTTGTATGTAACTATCTATGTATGTATGTATGTTTGTTCGGGGCAAATCTTGTAAGCTAAATTAAAACCACTTTCTTTTATTGTAGGAGATTGAAATTTGGCATGTAGGTTCAGTCCCGATGATAATACATTTTTTTGCAAGGCATGACCCGAATTTTTGACAGCTGTCAAAATGGCGGCATTTTTGAGGTTTTTGATTTTTTAAAATTCTATTTATGAATGGATCGGGCTGAAATTTATATATATATATATATATATATATATATATATATATATATATATATATATATATATATATATATATATATATATATATATATATATATATATATATATATACAGGTTGTTAACTCGACAGTTACTTATAGGGAAACAGAATGGCAACACTGCCTATTGAGAACGTATGCATTATTGATTTTTCTGCCGACTCGTCCCGTCCCGTCGTCTATCGACGAGCGGGCCGATGTTATTTCAACCATAAAACTCTTGCCGCGAGTAATGAACAATTTAACAACCTGTATAGGTATATTGTGGGTATATACATATGAAAAAAAATATATGGGCGGCCATCTTGAAAATGAAAGAAAAAAATTTTGAGCTGTCATTATGTGATGTCAAATAAATTCAAATTTGTCCGATTTTGATAAAAATCGATATATTGGATGCCCCCTACCCCATAGTCGGTTTTCATTTTATTTGTCTCACAATTGAACTGTCAAATTTGACAGCTGTCGTTTTTTTTAAGTTCTCCTTTTTTAATGAAAATCGATATACATATTATTAGGATACCCATAGAAAGTTATTTAAGAAAAAAAAATTGAGTTTAAGTGTGTGGCACTGAGAAACAAGCATAACTAAAAAGTAGATGATAAATTTTATAAAAAAACCTTTTTTAAAAACAAGCTTTTATTTAAATACACTAAAAAGAATAAAATAAACTCTTTTTCTTTAAAACTTTTATTATAAACTTAGAACGTCATTACACAATTTTAATATTAGATATATAAAAGCTTGTCGCGAGATTTCTCTACATCGATAAACAAGTAAATTAACTAAAACCTGTGTCTACCCTGTCTCATTCTCAAAGTTTCTGTTATGATAGACCACTAGACCAGGAATTACAAGATAAAGTTGTCGTACCAGATTTTTATGAGTGCAAATGTACACTCAAATCTCGCGACAAGCTTTTATATAATATTAAAATTGTGTAATGACGTTATAAGTTCATAATAAAAGTTCTAAAGAAAAAGTTTATTTTATTCTTTTTAGTGTATTTAAATAAAAACTTGTTTTTAAAAAAGTTTTTTTATAAAATTTTTCAGAACAATTTTGAAGAACTTTTCTTAAATGAAAATATATTATGTAAATTCGTTAAATTATTTCAGACAATTAAATTCAACCATCAATCAAAATTTTCCTATAATGTATTTTTTGTTAAATTTATACGCAAAAGTTAGAAATTATTATACCTTAAAGAATATTACTAAGAACTTAAATGTAGCAAACAAAAACCGAAAGCTCCTAATTTAGAAACATTCGTAAATAACTATAAGTAATCAATGTACTTATTTCATTTTGCTGTTATTTCTAGAAATAAATTAATTAATTTGTTTTTTAAATGTTTTTCTTTGAGAATGCATATTTATTTAAAGTCAACAATTTAAAAAACGTGTATCTAAATTATGTTCTAGCACAGTCGAATAATTTTTGTCACGTGTAATTTTTTTTGAATACATCTCTGGGCTGACTGGCGCTTAGGCGGCTATTGGTTTTGGCGAGAGAGCTCGCCGCTCTAGTGTTCCCCCTCTTTCGAATCGCAAATCCGAGCGTAAAAAGATCAAAGCGGCACGCTACACTGTCCGAGCTGGTTTTTACTTAAGCTGTGGCTATACCAACATTAAACTAGGTCAGATATTACAGTAAGTAAATAGAATAAAAATGAGAAAGTTACGGAACATAAAATTTGACAAAAAATTTAGTGTTAATTGGTAGAAAGAAACTATTAAAATTTCACGAATCCAAAATATAAAGAAACAATGCTGAGTATTCCAGATTCTTTAATTACTTTTAACAAACACGTTTCGTTGCATACAACTGTCTGGAAACTTGGACAGCCCCGAAGCCATTCTAAAGTCCACAAGCAAACAGCACATGGCATTCTCGCCGAAAACCATTATGCGTTGTTGTCAAACAAACCGCTAGTTCCGCACTTGTTCCGGAATATCAAACGCGCCGACTAAGTCGCATTAGTTTTTCGTTTTTGGCAGAGTCGGTCTGCCGTTTTATGGCGTCGAGATTATGTACTATAAGCGTGCAGGAGAGGGTGCCTGAATTTCAATGAACTAAATGCGATACGTGTATCTTTGGGTGTGTTTTGAGGGAGAAGTGTGTGTAAGTGTAGAGAGTAACATCTTTCTTAAGCTGTACATGAATTTTAAATTTCTTTGTTTCTATCAGTTTGTTATTCAATAAATTTCGATTTATACAAAGTGAGTTTTCTACGATGTTCTCTATGAGTATCTCGGAAACTACTGAAGATAGAGAGTCGGTTAAATGGGGAAAGAATAATTGCAGTTTTGTGGCACCATAAATATGCGCCTTTCAGATTTTTGAAAAAGTTCATGGCTTATTAGATATTTCGAAAAAAACAAATTTCGGCTATTTTAAAAATGCTCCCTAATTCCATTATAACCTATTTTAGACAAAAAGTTTGCAGATAAAAGTTGTAGATAATCACATCCTTAATGAAATTGTGTTCTCCGTTTTTTTGTAAAGCGTGCCATTTTTGACATATGACACAAACATGTTTTTTTTAAATGACACATCGTATACAGGATACAACAAATTCGGGGTACATTGCATTGGTATCTCGGAAACTGTAATAAATACGAGGATGGTTAAATTGGGGCAAACTTGCGCTTTGAGATGTTCACCAAGATACCATCAAAAAAGTTTAAAAATTTCAAGGATTGCTGAGTTTTTTGGAAAAAACGGATATTTTTGAAAATCAATTTTATTTTTTCCTGTCGTTATTTTTAGAAAATCAAAAAACTAATTAAACGTTCTCATAGCCACTTTATTAGGGCTACCTGACAGTATTTTTAGATTCTCAAATTAGCTGATAATTTTTGAGATACAGAAGCCAACTTAGTTTTTTAAATACGGACCTGCACTTTTAATTTCAGGTTTTGAAAGAACTCGGTCTCCCGGGTACAATGATATGCCACACTATACTTTTTTTGATTTGTGTACTTAACAACAACAAAACTATTTAATTATTATTTAAAATAATTTCAAGTGCGACTCTGTTTTTTTAAATTATTTAATCTGATAAATTCATCGCAATAATATTGATCAGCGCTAATTAATATTGAATAAGGAAATCGAGCAAATTAGAGATTCAAATAAATAATATCCAGGTGAGCAATTTAAAGATATTATTTTTAATTTTTTTTATTGTGAATTTGAAATCTCATTGTTATAATAATAATAATAGCAAACAAACAAACAAACAGTGCCTTTATTGTACAAAAAGCCAAAACAGCTTCATCGACAAAGCACTCACAAAATCACAAAAAAATACAAACAACAAAAAATACACAATACAAATAATACAATTCAAAAAAATCTAAGTCTTTAAAATTACAAAAAGAATATACATGGACAATTTTAGTACGGTACGCACTAAATAGATATAATTTTAGAGTTATAAAATATTAAATACTTGACCTTTGACCAGTGTGTGAGGTGATCAAAATTTTAAAATTCAAAACTGTTCATAATTAAACATCAACAAAACATGAACAAAAAAACATCAACAAAACATCGACAAAAAAGCTCCCGTATATAGCGTTTAACGCCTTGGGAGTAGCAAGGTACAGCTTGCCATACTAGAGCCGTTCGGTATACAAGGAAGGTAATGTGGCTAGCACTACGCTTCAACCGCCTATTGTTACCTCAGGATTGTGAATCCCAAGTACTCATTTAAGGCTGAGTCGACCTAGGTACCCAAACTATTTTTATTTTAATAAAAATTGTCGGCTGATGCAATTCCGGTTCAAATCTCATTGTACGTTCTAATAATATGCATCATATTAATCGTACTTATTATAAATCAATCAGCTTCTACAAACTAGTTTCTAATGTTCGAAAGGATTGTCCTCCCTGTTGGAAATATTTATTTTTCGTTCAATTTTATTTATAGCTCTTTGAACAGATCTTCTTATTATATATCCGAATGCATTTGGTACTCTTTATTTTAAATGTTGAGATGTATTGATTTTACTTATACAAATGACGTCAAGAAATGCCCCCCGCCCCTTGGCGACAGGTCCAGGAACCTCGCTGGTCATTATACTGCTCTACCATTTTCAAATCATCTTTCTTGTTTGTATTTTCTTGTTTGTTTGCAGCTTTATTGTTTATATTATATTATATTTATATTATCATTGTACTCAGGAGACTGAGTTCTTTCAAAACCTGAAATAAAAAATACAGGTCCGTATTTAAAAAAATTAAATTGGCCTCTGTATCTCACAAATTATCAGCTACTTTGAAAATCTAAAAATACTGCCAGATAGCCCTAATAAAGTGGCTATAAGAATGTGCAATTAATTTTTTGATTTTTTAAAAAGTAAAGACAGGAAAAAATAAAATTGATTTTCAAAAAAATTCTTTTTTTTCCAAAAAAAAACTCCCAAAGCGCAACTTTGCCTTAATTTAACCATGTTCGTATCTATTACGGTTACCGAAATACCAGTGCTCCAAACCAAACCAAACCTCGAATTTGTAGCACCCTGTATATCTAAAAAATATAATATCAGAACCCTTACCCATTAGGTACAACAATTTCTTTCTCCACCACCGTGGCGTTATTCGCCCAGAAGGTCCCGTTGCCATCCGTCTTTATTTCTATCGTCCGATTGTCCAGCGTCGTTACCGAAATATTCCCACTTGACTTGGCCAAGTCCAGCTTGAGGTCCGGCACGACGTGACCGTCCACCAGTTTCTTGACCGCATCTGGTGCGAGAAGTTTTGTTGCCGAGCCGTTAAGGACGGAGTTCTGGGGTGCCAGTATCGTGAAGGGTTTGTCTGAAAGAGAAGAGGAACGGTTAGAAAAAGTTTTCTGCAACTTTAATATGAGTTTGATTCGTTAATAATTTATATGAATCGGAATTAAATTATAACGCATTCATGTATTCAAAGAAACAGCACAAAATAGTTCTTTTTGTTATATTAATACCCTGCCTAAAATGGTCGCCACGAAAAACGAACGCTATATAATTTTCATGTAAACTGCTCGTCAAATTAAATACTACCGCGATTTTTTTATTCATTTTCAACGAGTTGTAACTTTGAAAAAATGATTTTGTTGATTTTTTTAGCATATTAAAGATCGTTTTTCGTAGATTGATCTGATTTTTCCAAATTTTGTATGAGTTTAGTTTTCTATGATATATAGGCTGTGAAAAAAAGGAACGTAATTTTTGTAATTTTTGTGTTGCTGCCATTTTGCCAAAAAAAAATTAACTAGAATTATAAGTTCTGGGTATAGCTAAGACTAATATCTCGAGACGTATTTGGAATTTTTACGATAACTCATCTGGAATAAAAGATAATCAATTTTTACTCTAACTTGTATTTTTCTACCTTTCTTAAGAGATATGCTAACAAAACTGAAATTAACTTTAAATTTGTGGGATATTCGTTACTTTTACAATGTGAAATTAAAAAAAAAATGATTAACTAACGCAGTTTAATACAGGATCTCTTAAAACTACGACCAGCGAAAAAGTAAAATTATTTTTTTTAACCTTATGGGCTGTTAAGTTCAGAATATTAAAAAAAATAATTTTACATTTTCGCTGGTCGTATTTTTAAGAGATCCTGTATTAAACTGCGTTAGTTAATCATTTTTTTAAATTTCACATTGTAAAAGTAACGAATATTACAATTTTAAAGTTAATTTCAGTTTTGTTAGCATATCTCTTAAGAAAGTTAGTTTTATTCCAGATGAGTTATCGTAAAGATTCCAAATACGTCTCGAGATATTAGTCTTAGCTATACCCAGAATTTATAATTATAGTGCAAAATGGCAGCAACACAAAAATTACATTCCTTTTTTTCACACCCTGTATATCATAGAAAACTAAATCTCATACAAAATTTAGAAAAATCAGATCAATCTACGAAAAACGATATTTAATATGCTAAAAAATCAACAAAATCGGTCCATTTTTTTTAAAGTTACAACTCGTTGAAAATGAGTAACAAAATCGCTGTAGTATTTAATTTGACGAGCAGTTTATTTTAAATTTCAATATGTTAATTCTTCTTAGACAACGTATTGATTCTCTGTCAAAAGGTATGGAAACATAATGTGACTTATTTACACCTATACCTATTTTTTAAAATTATTTTATCAACTAATGAAGGAGCATAACTATTAAACTCAGCTGCATTAATGTAATTTCTTTCTATTTCACATATTTCGTTGGTAAGAGGAAAAATAAGTAGTCTGAACTAAGAACTAAAATTTTTTAAATAAAACCATTTTATTAAACCAATAAAATATTTGACTTTTTAGCGTTTTCTTAATTAAAAATTAAAGTCTTCATCTGTCTTACGAGAAAAAACAAAATGTTGTTATTTTGGTGAAAGTTTGAAACACCCTGTACAGGTTGGCGCACCTCATTCGCCTCGGGTGATTATAGGAAAACGAAAAGATGTAGAAACAAAATATTTTATGGTTATAAGTGGGAATGCAATGTACATAATTTAATATTATTTTCAAATGTACAGGGTGTGTTAGAACTAAGATCCATACCAAAGTTATAATTTTTTTTTATGGAACACCCGGTATTTATTTCACTTTTGGATTCTTGGGCGTAAAATAAGGCATTTATCATAAGGGTTTAATATGTTTAAAAGCTTTGGTTTTGAGATATTTGAAGATATTTAAATATGCATGCTTAATAAAAAAGTTTCTCAACGCCTTGTACATTACTTTTCAGAATTAATTCTTGTGCTGACTTTGAAGCCAGAGAAATAAACTTTACTAAAAAATTTGATTGCTTCCTTAAATGTATACAAAAAATACAGAAAAATTATTTTATATTTTAGAAAGTTTGGTGTAGAATTTTGAACATCCTGTATGATTCACGTTTACCATATTTATAGCAAAGTAAGTACAGACCATCTAAAGTAAACACCTAATTTGGTTTTAATTTCAGGACAGTTCTTGAATTTATAATATTTTTTTAATAAAGGCTGAATCTATATTTTTTATTTATTTATGAATATCTCTAAAGCTATCGAAATATATTTACTCATATCTTAGCTTATGTAAGTGATCTGAAAGGAAGCAAACAATGCAATAATATAAAACGTGTTCAATTTAAAAAAAAATCATCCCGATCCACTCATACATAGAACCACCCTATAGAAGTTAAATATTTTCCTGAAATACATCCTAGTACATACTTTAGGTTTGCACTTAAACAAAATTCCCAATTTTTTATTCCAGGAGCTACAGATGCCCGACACACTATTGCCGAACCCTATATACATTTCTCATAAGAATTTAAAGAAAACCGAATTCAAAAGATATTTTCCTTTCAATCCCATTTCATGTTATCAAATAAAATAAATTCTATAACCCCCATCCACTGAATATATTTGATATCAGACGCATAAAATTTAATCTGAATTTTCGTATAGGCTGCTAGAACGGAGGAATATCATTGTAGGAAGTAAATGGCTGAAAATTTGGCGAACGCTGCATACATCAGATTAATATATCGTGAACGAGGGCTCTTATAGACGCAGGTCAACAGATATTACCCAGAAAAGGAAACGATGGATCGGAAAATGGACGAAAATTATCGTAATAAAATTTATATTGGATTCCTTTCGGGGAAAACCTGATTTTCGGCACCGTATTGAAAAGATTTATGGCGGTTTCTTGTCGGAATGATGGTCCGATATTAAAAATATTTGTTTGGAAACTGATGTCTTGAATCTATAACCAAAATCATTTTCAATACGTTACGCTAATATCTATATTATTGACATTGAAAAATGATTTTATTTCAGTTAAGTTTCCAAAATTTTTAGTTTTTAGTTCATAGACTATACTTTGAATGAAATAAGATTACGATCTTAAAAATAATAATTGTGTGTGAATTATGTGCGTATATTTGAAGTGAAAATAGTTACTAACAACTATTAAATTGAAGGATTTGAAGGACATGTTTGAAAAAGTGTAGTTTGAAATGTTGAAAAAGTAATAAATTAAAAATTAATAAACAAATTGATTCACTTTCACAAAATTTGCATTAAAGTGACCGTCTGTCCGTTTGAGGACTCCATTCGGCTACCTCTATCCACGTGCCGAGTTTGGTTCCATTCGATCCATAATTAAGAAAAATCCTGATGATTTTGTCCATTTATAGGCATCAATTAGAAACGTCGAGGGAGTCATCCCGTGGCCCGCCCCAATTATGCCGAAATCGGCCCACATTTTTCTTCAATATCAAATCCTTAGTCTTATCCTGATGGAGATATCGTAAACAAAACGTCGCATCCAACTTTGCAGGGTGGAATCACGTGCACCGTCGCTCACAGCCTACCCACCAAATTTGGTCGCGATCGGACGACACCATGGTACAAAGAATACAATATGGTATTGCACACTCCGCGCGCCAGTTCAAATCGTCAAGATATTGTAATAAACCTGTTTTTTTGTTTATATACCGTCATTGAATTATCGCTAAGCAAGTTACTGTAGAGCAGTGCGTAAAGAGTCAGGCTAGGAAGCGAGAGACCGGAGTCCGAATCTCGGCCGGAACATAACTTTTTTATTGAATTTTTTAAATACTGTTGTATTCTATAGTTTATTTTTGTAGTATAAAAAAAAGAACTATTTATTCTGTTGTTTTTTAATCTCCGGTATTAATATAAATTGATTGTTGGTACAATACCTCATTTAATATAAAATAATATTCTATTTTTTGAAATGTATCGGGCCCTAATTGTACCTAAAAGTAATATATTTTTACAGATTGTAAACTAAATATTTCAGTCACTTAAAAAGTTAATTTGCATTGAATAATTGCCTACCATTAAAGGAAATTTGAGCTATAATCCTTGATGGGCATATTCTGGGTATGCAAATACTTTTGGGTTTCGTTAAACCGATTTATTCTCAAAACCTGAAACATCTACATATAAAAAGAAGCACAGGTCATTAATTATAATAAACTTCACCCTTGGAATTACTTCCACTAATTATAATAAACTTCACCCTTGGAATTACTTCTATCACAATTACAATACATTCATCTGCATTGGCATTTCCTACATTTTCGATGGGAAACAATCAACTTCCCAACATTTTTTAAATGATGTAACAATTCCTCTTGTGGTTATTTTTCCATAGATATCCTCATCTCTGTCCTCATGTGAATTCAGAGACAATGAACATGAAAATTATTTACCATAAACATCGCAAACTAAGAACCTAATAAACAATTTTATACCGAATATAGAAATAAATTTAATATTCTTACCTATTATCGTCCAAATCCATGTTAATAGATAATTAATATTTTGGATTTTTGTCTTTTATTTTTAAATATATTTTTGGAACTGCTGGTTTTAGTAATTACTAAATTAAACGAACTAAAAAGTCTTAAAAATAAACAATTCTTAACCATAACCCCAAAAAATACAAAAAATGCAGATCTCCTGTCAACTTTCTTTATTTTTTATTTATTCTTTATTTTCCTACTGACGTCACAGGTGGTATGCGCGAACTGAAAGAAATTGGAGCCGCTATCGATCATACCTTGTTTTCTTTGTACCATGGGACGACACCAACATTTGACGTTTCTGTCAAAACTAACTGTCACAGTGACACGTATCGTAAACGGTCAAGTTGGCCTTGGTCCAATCTATCGACATACCAAATTTCATTTAAATCGGACGATTTTTTCGCCACTGATGGTAGGGTTTCATAGAGCACGAAACGTCGTCAAAAGATCATGAAAATTTTTCATTAAAAAATATCATGAACATGTAGTATACAGGGT